GGGGTTGGGGCAGTCCTGGGGGTCCCAGCTCTGATTTTTGGGGTTCCCGCCCCGCCCAAGTTCTGCGGCTGCACCATCGCCGGGCTCTCCATGCTGGTTTTGGGGTGATTTGGGGTGATTTTGGGGTGATTTTGGGGTGATTTTCCCCAGTTTTGTGGCTGCACCATCGCCGGGCTCTCCCTGCAGGTTTTGGGGTGATTTTGGGTGATTTTGGGTGATTTTGGGGTGATTTTGGGTGATTTTGGGGTGATTTCTCCCCAGTTTTGTGGCTGCACCATCGCCGGGCTCTCCCTGCTGGTTTTGGGCTGATTTTGGGTGATTTTGGGTGATTTTGGGGTGATTTTGGGGTGATTTTCCCCAGTTTTGTGGCTGCACCATCGCCGGACTCTCCCTGCAGGTTTTGGGGTGATTTTGGGGTGATTTTGGGTGATTTTGGGGTGATTTCTCCCCAGTTTTGTGGCTGCACCATCGCCGGGCTCTCCGTGCTGGTTTTGGGCTGATTTTGGGGTGATTTTGGGTGATTTTGGGGCGATTTTTCCCCAGTTTTGTGGCTGCACCATCGCCGGGCTCTCCCTGCTGTTTTTGGGGTGATTTTGGGTGATTTTGGGGCGATTTCTCCCCAGTTTTGTGGCTGCACCATCGCCGGGCTCTCCCTGCAGGTTTTGGGGTGATTTTGGGGTGATTTTGGGGTGATTTTGGGGTGATTTTGGGGTGATTTCTCCCCAGTTTTGTGGCTGCACCATCGCCGGGCTCTCCCTGCTGGTTTTGGGGTGATTTTGGGATGATTTTGGGGTGATTTTGGGTGATTTTGGGGTGATTTTCCCCAGTTTTGTGGCTGCACCATCGCCGGGCTCTCCCTGCTGGTTTTGGGGTGATTTTGGGTGATTTTGGGGTGATTTTGGGGCGATTTTCCCCAGTTTTGTGGCTGCACCATCGCCGGGCTCTCTCTCCTCTCCGCCTCCGTCCTGCGGCTCCGCAGCCTCCGGGACCCCCGGGACCAGCTGGAGCTGCTGCTGCCGCCGCGCTCGCTCTACGTGCTGCGGTGGGTCTGGGGGCTTTTGGGGGGTCCCGGGGGGTCCCGGGGGGCTTCGGGACCCCCTGACCCCGCCGTGCCCCCCAGGGGCGCCGCCCGGTACGAGTTCACCCACGAGATCCTGGGCGACGAGGAATCGTTCTTCGGGGGGCTGCGGGTGCCGCGGGGGCGCCGCGTGGCGCTCATCTTCCGCAACGACCCCCCCGGTGAGAGACGCCCCAAAATCACCCAAAAATACCCCAAAAATCCTCCCCAAAATCCCCTGATCTTCCGCAACGACCCCCCCGGTGAGAGACGCCCCAAAAATACCCGAAACCACCCAAAAATACCCCAAAAATCCTCCCCAAAA